GCCATAACGCCCGGCTATTTTTTGGTTGCAGCCATCATTGTTGTTTGGCGGGCCCGGGCTGGATTTGAACCCGCCACCTTGGGTGTGCGTGGCTGGTGCCTTAGCCACTTGAGCCACAGGCGCCGAGCCCATTTTTACCACTTCCATGCGTGCCAGCCCAACTTCCAGCTGCCAGCACCTGCAACCCTTTCAGGAGAATTCTCTCCAGTCACTAAAGCTTGCTTTGCCAGCCTTCACGGTGGCAGATCAGAAGTGCCAAAGAATTTAAACCTCCCAGGAGCAGCCCTCAATGGACAGTTCCTTCATCCTTAAGTGGGACAGTTTGGTGTATGTGCTGCTGAGTCTCCCAGAGTAAACTACTTGCTCCTGAATCTTTGTGTTAAGATCTGCGTTCAATAAGACAATTTGGAAATCTTGCCACATTACCGCGGGTATATCTACTGCATTATTTTTAACAGCCTTGTAGCCCTCCTCATTGCAGTTGTATCATCATTTATTCACCTACAGTTGTTGATTGACACTTAAGTTGCTTTCAATTTCTTGTTTTTGCAAACTATGCCACAAGAAACATCTTTGCAGATAATTGCTGTGCTCCTCATTTGGCCAATTATTAATAGCAGTTCATTATGAAAAAATAGCTGCTTGATCTTCATCCAAAGTATGGCAATTATTACAATCAGATTGGAAAATAAAAGAGGAAGCCACGAAATTAGCAATGCCAAGAAACAGCTGATTCTGGCATAAATCAATTCCCACTGCGAATAATTGTATTTACAACACTGGGCAATTAGAGATTCACCATTTGGATCACATGCTTGGAAAGACATGACCTGTTATCTTAGTCTGGCATTTCTGCTTGGTCTTTAGAGGAAGGAGCAGTGTCGAGGTCGGGTTTGTAGGCAAGCTCATTGTAAATACCAACCCAAAGGACATTCCAAGGCAGGTTTCAGTGTAAACAGGGGAGCTGCCTCCCTGGGGCTTTCATGTTTAAGAGCAGCTAAAACACAAGCAGAGCATCAGTTACCCCAGCTTTTCACTGCAGACGCTTCTTCCTTAAGTGCACGATGCCCTCTACTGGAAATAAAAATCCACTAGCCCCTGTATCAACGGATAATCTTAAGTATTTTGGAGAGTGAGATATATGTAATTAGAGGTGATTATCACTTTATGATGCTTATTTGCATTTTCTAAAACAAAAAATATATTGTTTGCAATGATGAAAATAAAACGCTATTTAACCTTCCTTGCTTGAATGAAAGTCTAATCTTTCTTGATGCTCCTCCATAGACAGAAAATGTAATTACTTGGCTTCCTACATGATTCCTCTTACCCTTCTGAAAGGGAATAAAGACCTGCTAAGAACAAGCAGGTCTACATTCCCAGAACCATCTCCAAATCAATAGGGACCCAGTGGACACGAATATTTACCAGGACTTTCAGACTATAGATGCTCAGGACACTTTCAAAGTAGTTGTTCAACATAACGAGTGCTTTGGTAGCAGACACACCTGGGTTTGTCCGACCCAGGTGCAACTGGCTTGCAAAAGTTGCCCCAGTATTTGTCTACCCATATTTCTGCTCCCCTGAATCTGGGTTGTCTTAGCCCCATGCCTAGGGGCCATGTGACCACCCTCGCAGGGTGGACTGCAGGATTAGAGACACGCGGAGCCTGGATGAGTAGGCTGTGCCACACTAGACTCTCCAGCCCCCATCTGATTCAGTTGGCTGAAGACACGTGAGCAAGCTCTGCCAAACCAGAGGAATCACCAAACCGCTCAACTGCAGGATCCTGAGTTAAACAGGCTGTTGTTGCTTTTAGCCACAAGCATCAGAAGGGTTCGTTACAAAACAAAAGATAACCCTATAGTCCACTTAATAACTAACTGACCAGAAGCAAGTCACTTAGGAGCTCTGAGTCCCAGCGTTCCCATCTGTTAAATGGGAATAAGCAAATTGTTCAATGGACCAAAGGAGATAGTTTGAGGAGCACACTGTCCAGTCGCGATGGGGAACCTGCAGCCTTGAGGCCACATGCGGCCCTCCAGGTCCCCAAGTACAGCCTCTCATCAGAATCCAAACTTCACACAACAAATACCTTTATGAAAAGGATTTTTTCTGTAAAATTTTGAGTCAATCAAAGGCCACATGTGGCCCCAAGGTCGCAGTTCCCGAAGGAGGGACATATTTAGAAAAGCACTGATCAGAACAAAGGAATGAGTTTCTTATTAATATAATTGATATTTATACTAAAAATTCTGAGTACATTATAAGGAATTCTGGTTGTTGAGCTTTTCAAAATTAAACAGCAGAATCTTATTCGTGTGGTTTTATGAGGTGCGGCAATTGGAAGAAGCTATTCAAAATTAACGGGAGCTCTGAATTACATTTAATTACATCAGAATATATTCAACTAAATGTTTCCAAATAATGAACTTGGGGGAGCCATTTTTATAACTAGGTGAGAACATTGTATGATTAAAACATAATCATTTTATGTAGGATAGAGTTATAGTGGTGGGAAGCCAGGGGATTTCTTGGGTAGCTAAATAGTTCTAAAATTTTGTTCATAGTTGTTATTTACCCTTCCCACAGATTAAAAAAAAATAGCTTTGTTCTGAGTAGTTAAGAGAATAGGTTTAGAGGGTCAAATGATTTTTTT